GTTAGAGGTTGCTAAATAGGACACAAAAAAGTATGATCACAGAAGAAAAACTTGATAAACTAGACTCTATCAAAAACAAAAAAACATTTGTGAAAGATATTATTAATAACAAAACAAGCCACAGCCTGGGAATAAATATTTGGAAAACACATAGCTGGTGAAAACTTATAGCCAGAATATATAAATAACCCATACAATTTAATAATAAACCAGAATAGCAAAATATTACAACAGATACTTGACCACAGAAGGTACAGAGATGGCAAATAAGCACATGAAAACGTGCCCAATATAATTAATTATTATATAAATGCAAATTTAAATCACAATGAGATCCCCTACATACCCACTAGAAAGGTGTGTTGTTGGTGGGAAAACAAAATGATACAGCCACATTGGAAAATACTTTGGCAATATCTTACAAAGTTAAATATATGCTTACCATAAGACCAAGCAATCCCACTCTAAATCTCATATTTCCCAAGAGATATGAAATCATATGTCAATCATACAAATACCTGTACAAGAATGTTCACAAGCTTCATTCATAATAGCCAAAAACTGGGAACAAGTCAAATGTGCATTAACTGGTCCATCGATAAACTGGAACACTACTCAGCTATAAAAAGGAACAAACTGCTGATGCATACACAACATGGATGAACCTAAAAAGCATTAAAGTAAGTGAGAGAAGTCATATATGACTCATTTATATGAAATTCTAGAAACAAACAAACTAGAAGGGAAAGAGATGAAGCCTGGGGTGGAGAGAAAGTTTAATTATAAACGGAAACAAAGGTTGTTTGGGGAGAGATGAAAATGTTGAATATCTTGATTGTGGTGATAGTCACATAATTATATTTGTCAAAATTATAGAACTGTGTTCCTAGGGAAGGTGAACTTCATACTGGACATTATTATAGCTCAATAAATCTCACTTGAAAACAAAGCAACACAGTAACATCAGCATAAATATATAATGACCATACAAAAAATATATACAGAGAATTATGTTAGAATATTACAACATATAGCCAAAGATCACATGCCAATAATGCATATCCTTTTATTAAAATACCTCATAAGTACCAATGATATGCCTATAGGGAATTCAGGGGGTGAAGTGTACGAGTCTCTGCAACTTTGAAAAGCACTGCAAAAAATACAGGTAAACTGATGGAAGGACAGAGGAATTGGCAGACAGACAGGAGATAAATCAAATATAGCAAAATGTTAATTACTGAATCCAGGTGGAAATATTATATGTGCATTCAATCTGTAACTCTTTTACTTGTTCTTTATGATAATTTTCATAATAAAATTTTGGGGGGAAAATCTGGGTAAAGAATAGCAAAGCAAATCCAGCCTAAATAGAAAAGAGGAAATAAAAGTAAAAGGAGAAAAATTAACAAAACAAAGAGGAAACCACAAAGAAATTAACAAAGCTAAAAATTCATTCCGTGAAAAAATCAATAAATGTTACATAAATTTCAGAGGTTCTACTACTACATGGGATTTGATGATAGTTTTTTATTATTATAATGAGGTTACTCTTGAGACCAACAGTTCCTAGGAGACTTTTATTATCTGAAATTAACCTAGAGAACTATCAGAGACCTATCCAGGCATGGGGGGGGGGGGGTTACAGTCCCCAAATAGATTAAGTATGGAAGAATGGGAAGCAATTCAAGTTGCTTTTTGCATCCACCCTTGGGAATTATGAGGGTTGTCTAGGAGCAAGTCCACATGCTCCTATATTCCCATCCCATCCTGATCCCATGCTCTTGGATTCTGGCTTTGCTATGTCTCCCATTTCCTTGAAATCTCTCTAGCAGATATTTTAAGCAGCATACCTTTAACTAAACATGGACATTAGAACTCTCTGGAATGTTATTCAAAATCCATATAACCAGGCCCACCCCAGGTTTCTGAAAAAATTTCTAGAGAGTGGGGCCTACTCATGACTATTGTGAGAGTTCCATAGTAATTATGAAATGTATATCTGGTTAACAATCACTCCATAAAACAAAACAAACAGAAAACCCCCCTTCTGTATGGGTAAAAACAGTGATGAAATTTTGAGTGCTTCCTTAATGCCAGGTACCATTTCAGATGCTTTACATACATCGATTCATTAACTTTTGATAATCACTAAGTTTTATCATTAGCCCCCTTCTACAATGAGTGAAGAGAGGCAAAGCCATTTGTCCACAGTGACAGCTACTGAGAGAAATGGCCAGATTTTGAACCCAGACTATGTGGCTACAAAGTCCATACTCTTAGCCACTTGTGTGTAGATGAATAACAAGTCTCCTTTCTCTGCCCAGGTACAAAACGATATAATATTTATTCATTGTCTTCCACCAGTCCAACACTGGGTAAATAAGAACGAGATGCACACTCTTCTATCTAGGGTTCTGTGTGTTCAGTAGAGAAATAAGCTATAGGGTTTTTCTGGTATATGTGTGTGTGGGGGGGGGGCGGGTACTGGAGATTGAACCAAGGGGCTTTATCACTGACCTACATCCCCAGACCTTTTTCTTTTTTATTTTGAGACAGGATCTCACCAATTGCTGAGGCTGGCCTCAGGCTTTCAATTTTTCTGCCTCAGCCTCCCAAGTTGCTGCAATTACAGGCACACTCCTCTGTGTGCTAGGCATTTTATTTTTGGTACCATGGATTTGAACTCAGGGGCACTTAACACTGAGCCACATCCTGAGTCCCTTTTTGTATTTTATTTAGAGACAATGCCTCACTGAGTTACTCAGGGCTGCACTAAGTTGCTTATGCTGGCTTTGAACCCATAATCCTCTAGCCTCAGCCTCCTGAGCTACTGCATTTGAAATTACCATGTGGAATGCAAAAAAATGTTATTTAAAGTTATAAATGTAACAAAGGAGATAAGAATTTAAGTAACATGAAGAGCTGAGAGCAGAAAGCCAAAGGGTAAGTAAGCTAATTCTTATCTTTCATTGAGAGGAGATACAAATGAAAATTCAAGAAGTGTGCTCAACAGAAGAACTGAAAACAGAAACCTTTAGTTAAGGCTGCTCTTGGGAGATGTAACTGGGAATGAATCTAAGATTACATTTTATCCTATGTTCTGCACTCAGAGTGAACATGTGCATGTCTATATTAAATTTTAATAGAATGCAGTTTTAATATAAGGACATTGTGCTGGGTGTGGGGGCACACACCTGTAATCCCAGTGACTTGGGAAATCGAGGCAGGAAGATTGCAAATTTAAAGCCAGCCTCAGCAATTTATCCAGGCCCTAAGCAACTTAGAGAGACCCTGTCTCAAAATTAAAAAATATAAATGGCTGGAGATATAATTCAGTGGTTAAGTACCCTTGAATTCAGTCCCTGGTACTAAATAAATAGACAGGCATTGTGAATCAGGAGGGTGGACTATCCTGAATATAGTTTTCATCCCTTTCAGGATACCAGTGAAATGAGAACATTCGTTCTAATTCCAGGTATCACTGGAAATTAAGAAATTGTGCCATCAGTACACTGGAATCCTCATGCATCTCTGTGAGGCAGCAGATATGGTGGTGCACTGAGCTATAACAATGATACTATAGCTGAAAAAAAAAAAAAAAAAAACAAGGAGAAGCAGGAGAGCAGTGGGGGCCACAAAGACCGGTCCAGGGTGCCTCTACATTTGACCAAGAATGTTGCTCTGAAATGAATCTCTAAAAAGCAGTGCTTCTCAGATTGTGGGTGTAGCTCAATGGTAGAGTACTTGCCTAGCATGTACAAGGCCCTGGATACTATCATCAGCACCACAAAAAATAAAGAAAAGAAAAATAGAGCAGTATCCTCAGCTGTCCTGTGCCTGCAAGTTCTCTGAAGAGCTTGCTGAAATATACATTCTAATTTAGTAAATCTTCAGTGAGGCCTGACACCATAGAGTCCCAGAAATTCACAGGCTGCTGGTCCATGGGCCACACTATGAAGAGTAAGTAAGAGCATTCTAATCAAATTTCTCTGGGATGGGCTCATGGAGAGGATTAATACAAATGGGAGAGGAAAAGGAGACCAATAGATCTGGAGTTTCTGGATCTCCACAAGCAGCTGAAAGTGAAAATAAACAACCAACTAATCAAAGAAAAAGGCAGCTCCATCCATCCAGGACTGAAACATGGTTCAATGAAATATTCTACCTTGGAGCAATGGCTTCTCAAGTTTATGTATTTTTTGAATAATACAAAAAGAGTTGAGAAGGAAGGAAGTATTATTGAGAGAAGCAAATGGATGGATGGCATCAAGTCAGATTTGTAAGAGTCTGAGAAGAAATAAGAAAACAGAAACAGTGTTTATGGTACCTGGGTTCAAAGCAAAGACAGATGAGAACATAGTGGGTACCTGGCCTAAAAGAGTTAAAGGTCGCTAGCAAAGCTTTGTCGTCCATACCAAAGGCAAGTAACCAGGTAGAATAATTTTCTTGAGGCTAAAACAAAGACTCCAAATTTCAGACTGAAAGGGCTTGGAATGCTGGGGGCATTCCAGACCAAGGTCCATCCCTTCAGGCTGAAGATGGTGCAGCCCCGGTGACTACCCCATGCACGCAGCAACTTGCCCCTGTACAGCATGCCCAATAGACAGGAAATTGGTGTTTCGCCTACAATTATTCCAGTAAAACCACAAAAGTCCAAGAAGGGGGAATAAAGTCTTAAAAACTTCCAGAAAGGAGGGGGAAAGGGATGAGAATGGGCTTGGCACTTCTCCCTAGCAAGCCAGGAGGCTGGAAGACAGGTGGGATCTCAGAACCAGAAAGACCACCCTCTGTGTGAATGCCAGGTGAAGAATACAAGAGACCACAAAAGGCCAACAAGGTAGGGGCCTCGTTTGGATATCACCATAGCTCATTCTTCAGACCAGAGTCATGTCACAAGTCTGGGGGCTGAGAAGAGCTCCTAAGTGCAGCCCAGGGGCCCAGCTCCTACACACAACTGGGTTCCTTATCCTGGCCTGACGCACCTGGATTCTGCTCACCTGGACAGCTCTGTATCGGAGTCCTTCCATCTGCCCTCCAAGCCTCTTCTCCTTGTCCCAACCTGAAGAGCACATCTGGTTGGGCAAGTAGATACCCTGTTCAGGGGAAATGACATAAGACTGTGGCATTAATGCTGCGGGCATTCCAGCCCAAGGTCCATCCCTTCAGGCTGAAGATGGTGCAGCCCCAGTGACTACCCCATGCACGCAGCAACTTGCCCCTGTACAGAACAGTCACCTAGAAGGCGAGAGCACAAATGTCCTATCCAGTGACCTAATGGAACTATGAATTGTTGACACTGAGCCTCCTGCCCAAACTCACTGAGGGTTTCAATGCCACTGAGTTTGCAGCAGCTTAGAGAGGGAGATACTCCTGGGGGCATTCCATGTCACCCTGTGCAGCAGTCCCTCACCCAGAGACACCAGGTGGCTGTAGTTCTCAAGCATGACATCCCTGTAGAGGTTTTTCTGAGCAGGGTCCAGTTGCTGCCACTCTTCCAGGGTGAAGTCCACAAACACGTCCCTGAAGGTCAGGGATTCCTGTAACAGCACATTCCTCTTTAACACAAAGGGATCAGCTGGGGGAATTGGGACATGACACCTCATGCACAATGAGTGCATACGCTGTGCCCATTCTAAGACCTTTACCTGTATTAAAGATTCTAATCCTCATCACCATCCTAGGAGAAACTTGACAGATGAGGAATATAAGGTGCACAGAACATAAAGTAACTATCCCAGATCATAGCTGGGAACTAGAGATTAAAATCTATGTGGTCTGTCTTCAGCACCCCCTTTTAAGACACTACAGTATTTTGTCTTTCTCTATACATTTGTTCTTATGTTGTTCACTAGTTGCAATATGGCAGAGTATTATAGTAGTCCTCCCTTATCTGCAGGGGATATATTTCAAGACCTCCAATGAATGCCTGAAATCATGGATAGTACTGAATCCCTTTACATACTGTTTTTTTTCCAATACAGACATACTTAATGATAAATTAGGTATAGTGAGAGATTAACAACAATAATAAAACAAAACAATTATAACAATAAACTGTAAGTTATGTGAATGTGTTTTCTCTTTCAGAATATCTCACTGTACCATACTTCTTATGATGATGTGAGATATGGTGTCTATATGATGAGATGAAATGAGGAAAATGACATAGGCATCTAATATAATGTTACTACATAAGGGTTATATGAACACAAGTACTGTGATACTCTGTCAGTGGATCGGATAAATGAGATGACTAATAAGAGACTAATGGGTAGCTAGCATACACAATGTGGATAGACTGAATAAAGGGACGATGGAAGCTTGACAAGGATGAAACAAGAGAGCACAAGATTTCATCACATTATGCAGAATGATATCCAAATTAAAACTTATAAACTGTTCATTTCTGGAATTTTCCATTTAATATTTTTAGACCAAAGTTAACTTCATGTAACTGAAACCACAGAAAGCAAAGCCATAGGCAAAGTGGGACTACTGTATACACAGGATTATATATACTTAAATTATGTTAAACTTTGTAGGGGAAGTAGAGTGTTAAAATATCTTATACATTCAATGCATATTTACTGAATAGACACTGAAGTGTTAGGTCCTGTGGATGTCAAGATTAATAAAATAAATAAATCTCCTGAACTTGTGAAGCTTAAGTCTAGTAAAAGGAAAAATAACAACACTTATACATATGAAAGAGAAAGAAGATAGACATGGTGGCATATGCTTGCAATCCTGGCTACTCTAGGGAGGCTGAGGCAAGAGGACAGGAAGTTTGGAGTCAGCCTCAGCAACTTAGCCACACCCTGGCTCAAAATAAAGAAAAATATTAAAAGGTCTGGGGATGTAACTGAGTGGTAAAGTGCCCCCGTGCTCAATCCATAGTTAAAAAAAAAAAAAAAGGAAAAAGAAACGAAAAACTGATTCATGTATCTAGATAGAATGTATGAAAACTGAAGGAGAGAAAGACTTGGGGATGGGTGACAGAAAGAATTAATTTTTCTTCTTTTGTTTAACAAAGCTTTTGCTTGAAATTTTGCCATGAGTAAAAATTACTTTGAAACATGCTCAATTACACTTATTCACATTCAACTCAGCATATGGTTTTAGAATTTTGACATCTATATCCTAAGTGAAATTGGTCTATAATTTTCTCTTTTGTAATATGTTCATCACATTTAAGGTTAAATGCACTCATAAAGTAAATTTGATTCCCTTTGATCTTTCATTAGCCTGGAAACCTTGAACATAGAAATTATCTGGTCTTTTAACATTCTGTGAAAGTAGTAATTAGTAAAGACTTAGGGCAAACTTAAAGTGTGAATACCTTTGACTCAAAAATCCAACTTTCAGGTATATCCTCAATAAACATGTTACAGAACAAATAGAAATGTAGCACATTGCTTATGAGGCACTGTCTTAATATTAAAAGAAAATTTAAAACCTAATTATCTATCAATAGACAAATAATTAAGTGATAATATCCATTCTACAAAACTGGAATTGAATTAATCTTTACATATTGACAAGGAATACTACTATTAATAATAATAAGGTGGTAAAAGATGGATAGGAGAGTATGATGGCAGTAATGTAAACATATAGGTATTCACATACATAGTTACATATGCATATATAACATGTGTATATTTATATACACATACAGATATTCACATACAGTTACATATGCATATATAACGTGTGTGCATTTATATACACATACACATATATATTTTTGCTTAATTAAATTGACATAAAAGCATCTACACCAGGATATCACTAACATGTTAATAGTGTGCATCTCTGAGGAAGAATGTGGGACTGGGAGAGGAGAAATTGATAGTTTTGACTATGATTTTTGTGTATGTACATTAAAACATTAAGGGCAAATTTACCTTTATATTTTAAATGTAAAGAATAAGAACAAGTGACCTAGAAGTGAAGAAATGGAAAAAGCAAGATGAGTCTATATAGGTAAATACAGATTTAAGGAAATGTATATTTGATAAATATATGGAAAGATGAGGTACAGATGCCAAAGGAAGGAGTAGAGAATTTGTCTTCCCTTTCCCCTGTATCTATCTGTCTGTCTTCATCTCTCTGTCCCTGAGGTAGATAGGTTCAGTAGAAAATGGGACAGAGGGGAAAATTAGGTGTTTTTTTTTTTTAAGTTTACTATACACATTACAAAAAGCTGCTCAATTTTACTAGAAGACAAAGTAGGGAGAAATCAGGGACTTACCTGGGAAATGGCCATCCTGTTCTGCTCTGGACAAAGGATGGAGGCCTAAAAGGGCAAAATTAGGAGGGTCAATATCAGTGGGGACAGCCGTAACACCACCACTATCAGCCTAATAATAATCATCTTTGAACCCTGGGGAGAATGATCTAGAAACATGGCCTGGTAGACCCAGTCTGTTTCCTTGGGATTACGCTAAGATCATGTGGGTTTTACACAGGGATTTTTGCTTTCCTTACTGGAGAGAAGTATGACTTACGTTTAAAGATAACTCCTCTATCTCCACAATTTTATTGCAAGAAATTTATCAGAACTAAACAATAATAAATGTGCACAAATCTGCAAGGATATTCACTGTAGTCATTTCCAAATTTTGGAAGCAAGTAAACTTCCAGCAAAGGATACTATTAAAAATAAGAAATATAAAAACAGACACATTTACATAGGCTTTTTAAAAAAAAGTGTAGTTGTAGATGAACAGCATGCCTTTTTAAAATTTGTTTATTTATATGTGGTGCTGAGGATTGAACCAGTGCCTCACACATGCAAGGCAAGTGTTCTGCCACTGAGCTGCAGCCCCAGCCCCATTACATAGGCTTTTTAAATTACTGTGCTTAGAATTTTAAAAGCGGGTTACAAAAAAACAAGTACAATGTGATCTCATTTATGTTAAGCAATATATATGTATGGTTCCAAAGAGCAGTTTTTGAAATGGCACTGATTACCTTTGAATGATTTCAATTTTCTTTTTTTATTTATAAAAATTTTAAAATATTAAACATCATTTATAATCACACTCAGATGAAGAGACCTTTGGCAGATGGTGAATGAGAAGAATCCCTTGATGTGGTTTAGAGGAAGGAAACTAAATGGGATTGAGAAGGCTGAGGAAAAGGACAGTTGAGGACAGGTCATATTCCAGCACTGTCAGTTCTTTGGGAAGCTGAAAACTACTGTGCGTCTATGTTTGCCTTCCTGGCCCTCCACTCTTCACTGGCCCTTCACCATCTATCCCTACCCTGTCACTTTCTCCTTTCACACCACTGGCATTTGGATTGCCATGCTCTTCCTTGTTGGGAAGTTTTCCAAAGAAAGTTCTAGCAAGGAGCTCCAGTGCAAAGTAATCATCCTACACTGCAACAGTCACTATGGCAGCATCAGGACAACAGGATCAGCCCTGGGGAGCTTAAAGGCACCTTCTCAGGCCATTTCGAAAACATCAGAAAGAGGCAACAGAACTGGATGACAGCATGCCTGGAGATTGCTCTGAAATTCCAAACTCTAAAAATTTAAAATGTATTTCTTCATTTTGGTCAGGATGGAGGGAGATTCAGCATGTACTTCAGAGTGTGTGATGCTAATGCTAAGGGACCAACTCAAATACAGAAGGCTCAATGACAAGAGAAGGGAGCATAATGCTGTGAACTTATATGTGCTAGGGAGAGGAGAAAGGTGTAACTGTTCCCAGCCTCATCCTGCCATTGCAGCCACTGTAGCAGGGCAGCTGTTCCATCCATGCCTCCAGCCACCTATGACATTCATCTCTCTTTCTCCCTGTTAGGATCAAACTACCTACTGGCACATGGAATTTGATGGCACATGGAAGTTAAGTCAGTCTCGCTCTCTCAGCTGAATGGAAGGTCAAAGGCCACTGTAGGTCCAACTCTTCTAGGACTGTTGTTCTGTGAGTCTCCAAACTCTGGGCTGAGGCTTCTCCTCCAACTCACTCAAGAGGAACTCTCTTGTTCCCAAGTAGGCAGTATCAAGGAACTCAGAGACAAATGCAAATGGCTGGGGCCATCATTGCAGCAGTAGATTTCTGCCTCCCACCCAGAGAGCTCACCTCCTCCAGAGGTCTCAGGCTGGGGCTTCTTAGACTGACTGAGGAAGCCAGGGTGCTGATAATCTAGAGTCTTAAATTGGTTAGCAGTGGTCTCAGTTGTACACTCTGCCCTGAAAACACAATGACCACAGGAGATTCCATTAGCGACCCCTATGCTATTTTTCATGGAGGCATAGTGACTCTTTCTAGTTTCAAGATTTAACATTCATGATGAGCTCCAGTACTGCCACTGAGTTCAACACTGCTGTACTAGGAGTCCAGACTCTAGAACCAACTGATGGCCAGCTGTGCCACTTCTATTAATTTAAGGCATGAGTTGAGTAACTTCTACGTGCCTCTTTTATGTATTGGAGACATATAAGTGAACAAAATCTGATTTCCATTCTCCTTTGGAGCTTTTTAATTTTAGTAGGGGAGAAAGGAAAAGATAAACATAATAAATAAAGGACAGGACACATTGGAAAGGGCTAAGTGTTACCCGGAAAAGAAAAAGGATCTCTAGAGATTAACACCCACGTGACTTCAGACAGGTGCTGAGCCACACTGTCCTGCTTTGTCTCTAAAATAAAGTTAATTGTAGCACCACTGCATAGAGCTCCCGTGCAGATTAGTGTGAGAACCGGTCTGGAAGCCTGGCCTTTAGTAGGACTCAGTAGTAGTCACTGAATGACTCAGTGCCATCAGTCCATCCATGACTCGCTGACCCAAGAGCCTAGCCTCCAACATACCCCACTGCCGGGGTCACTCAATCCCCAAAGGTGCGCCAGCACACGACCCCACAGCCCCGCCATTCCTCCCCATCAAGCCCGTCACCATCACCCCTCCCCTTACTTCTCCGCCAAGTCCCAAAACCTCAGTGTCGGATGACAACAGCTTCTGTGAACTAGAGCCTCCCTCCCGGGCGCTCCGAGTACTTCCGCTTCCCGTCACCCCCTGGGAACGCGAGTTAGCCGAACTGGGCATGCGCCATAGCTTGGGGGCGGGAGGCGAGGGCGTGGCAACACTGCCAATGTCGCGCTTGGCGCCTGCTAGGGAACGTGGTACTGAGTGTTCACACTGAGGCCGGAGGGAGCGACTAGAGCTTGCGACCGTATTCCGTAGCGAGTTGTAGGAAAGGCCTGGAGAGAGGAGAGGGGAGCGGACCCAGCGTGGACTTCCCAGCGGCCCTGTTCCCTCCCGCGCGGGGGCAAAAGCCCGTTTTCTATTTGTAGTCCCGCGCTGTTCTATCACCGAAACCACACTTTCGGCTTCCTTTAGCTCCTTTGAATAGGAAGAAGTCACGCTTCTGGAGTCAATAGCAGCAGGAGGGCAAGGCCACGTACAGACCGTGCGGGGCTGTGCGGAGCCAGACCCTGGATCAGGCTGAGTCCTGGCAACCCCAGCACAACTTCCCGCTCTGGCGGGAAGTTGCCCGGGAAGAGGGGCTTTGAAGTTGTGCTGCAGGATCAGGAACCTTCTGAAATGAGGGAAGAAATCTAGATGAATCATTCTCCTGTAACATAAATGAAGGGCTTCTGTTCCTGGCACCATAGATGTCCTGGAACAATCTGGTGTTTACTTTTTGGGGGGAAAATACATTGTAAAGTAAGTAGCAGAGAACTGTGTGCTCTGGGGGGTGCTAGCCAGTGACAAAGTGGCTTTGAGAAAAGTCTTCTGTTGCCTGTCACTTTCTGGGAGAAAGAAGCCAAGTGTGCACTCTGTGCTTGTTATAACTGACTGGTCACTGACATGCCTCCTTGGGTCAGGAATAAAAGAGTCCCAGCCCAGGTACACCTTGAGGTACACCTTTTGTGCTGGAGCTAACACATGCCAGGCACTTTTCATAGATGTGTCAAAGATGATCATGGAATCAATCAGATATTTAATTTCTATTTACATATGTATCTTCCTCCTCATTCTCTTTACCCTCAGCAATTTCCCTCACATTCTCCGGGTGTTTTGGATGAATTAGAGCCCAGTTCTGAATACTCAGTACAGAAATCTCCTGGGAACTAGTTCTGTCTAAGCCATGTGTAGAAGTCATAGGAAAAGAGCATGTTTTCACTAGGACATGTGAGCAATGAATTATTTCTCACTCTATTTTCTGTGCATATGTCAAGGATGGCCAGGTTTAGAGATACCAACCTATTTATTTCTAGAGGAGAGGTGTCCAAATAACTGTCTTTTCATACATCACTTCCACTAGGCAGAAAATACTTATGTTATTATGACAGTGTCCTGAGGACAGTGGAGAAACCCCAAGCTGCAGAAGCATCTGGTCTGTGGCTCTAGCCAGATTGTCCCCATATCCTGATTCTGCAGGAACAGGTGCTTACACAAAGAGAAGGGTTAATGCTTTGGATAGGGCATAGCATTCAGGAATTAAACACATGAAGAAACACTGTTTGGGCTGTTGGGATCTACTAATCTATTGGAAGAGATGGCGTGGATCCAGTGTTTACTGGGCCTCTTTTCTGCCTCAGCCAAGTACCACCTGCCCTAGACAGCCTGCTGATGTTCCTTTAAACATCTCTAGAACTCCAACCCCAAGAATAGCTCTTGGCAGATACCTGGTACATGGGGCTAGTTTTTGCTATCCTCTCCCCCGCAATATGAAACATGCTGGTACTTTGGCGGGACTTTTCTATGCTGTGGGAAATTGCCCTCTCCCTGCACAATTGTGTCTGTGCCTGGCACCATTGTTGCCCTGGATCACCACTTACATCCAGCTGCAAACATTTTTATGCAAAAGTTAAGCTTAAACAGGGAGGATAAAGGGAGTATGGATAGGAGTAGAAAAAGGCTGTTAAATAGGAGGAATAGATTTTAGTGTTCTAAACCACACTAAAGAGGCTGTTGTGAACTCTGCCTTCCTCAACAAGACTTCTGAGGCACTCTGCTCATCACCAGTCCAGGAAGTGAGAAAGCGTATGGAGGAACATAGATCAGGAATCACCACCAGCTTTCAGAATCACCACAGTTCAGAAAGTCAGGAAGTTGTTTCTGCCACCCAGAGGTCAGAAAACTGCAGAAAACTATTGCTGATAGCATGAAAGGAGTTCAGCAGGATGCCAAGGAAATTCACATCTACTGAAAAACACTTATTTGCTCTTCCTGTTAGAGCAAAAGTATGGCTTCTACCTCCCTTTACCAAATTTTGTACAGAGAGATTGCATTGACAAGGGAGTATGAGAAGTGTCTCAAGATTTTCAGCTCCTATAATCCAGAGAAGAAGATGGCAGTGGGAATGTTGTGGAATGCCAACAGATAATATTTGGTACAAATTTGAGAATCCTGTTAAAATTGAAATATTTGACTCCTTCTTCCTTCTTCCAGATTGAGTTCAAGGCCAGCAGAAATCTTCAGTGTCACTCCGCAAATGGAGGCATCAGCTGCTGAGGCAAGCAAAACTGGTTTGTGTCATTGTCTTTTTCTCCAGACCCTAGTCCCCTTAGATATTGAGTCCTAATTTGTGCTCCCCATTCTTCTGATATACACTTGTACACATTTGTCCTTGTAGATGAGCATGTATTTGCACTCACAGATTCACATTTCAGACAGCAAATCCCCGGGTGTCATGGTGAAGCCCTAAACTAATTCATTGGGGATAGGACCTAAGATGCTTCAGATGAATTGGGAGAACTTCCTAGATTCTTCCCAAATGCCATGGAGGTCAGAGGCTGAGTTTGCAGTCATAGAAACATCAGGCATGGAGCATGCTGAGCTTGGAAAAAGAGTCCAGGGTTTATTTTGTATGGCACTGTCAAGAGTATACCCATCAATGGAGAGAAACTGTTTGCCCTCCTGAGGGCCCCATTTACCCAGTGAATATTCAGCAAACCTAAGCAAACTATAAAGAAATAAGACTCCCATTTCATGAGTTGGGTTCCTGTTTAAGGAATTCTTGAGTCACTGATTCTGACCTAGAGAAATCTCTTTCCAGAGAAATGAAGCTAAAGAACCTGGATTGAGAAGGGTAACCTATTGCCCTTGAGCCACCATTACAGTCTTCTACATCCACGGCAGCTATCATTTGTCAATATATTAGTCTCCCTTTATCTGTGGTTTCACATTCTGTAGTTTCAGTTAACTGTGGTCAACTGTGATTCAAAAATATCAATTGGAAAAATTCCAGAAATAAACAGTTTACAAGTTTTAAATTACATGCTGTTCTGAGTAGCATGCTTGAAATCTTCTACTGTCTGGCTCTATTCTGCCCAGGATGTGAATCATTCCATTTGTCCAGCATATCTACAGTGTATATGCTACCTGCCTGTTAGTCACTTAGTAGCTATCTTGGTTATCAGATCAACAGTTGTAGTATTGCAAATGCTTATGTTTAAGTAACCCTTATGTTACTTAGTAATGTCCCCAAAACACAAGTGTAGTGATGCTGGCAAAAGAGAAACTGTAAAGTACTTCCTTTAAGTGAAAAGGTGAAAGTTCTTGAATTAATAAAGAAAGAAAAAATGTATGCTGAATTTGGTAAGATTTATGGTAAAAATGAATCTTCTATCCAATTTGTGCTAGTTGTACTTATCACACCTCAAACTGTAAGAGTTATATCCACAGTGCATAATGAGTCCTTGATTAAGATAGAAAAGGCATTCGATTTGTATGCATTTGTGTAGGGTTTGGTACTCTCTGAGGCTTAAGGCATCTACTTGGAGATTTTAGAACATTTCCCCTGTGGATAAGGGGAGACTACTGTAATTGTACTCCATTCAAACTACTGAGGATAATCTTTACTTAAAATCATCTGATTTTAGATGTTAATCACATTTCTGCAATACTTAGATTTGTATTTGTTTGAAAAATGGATACTATAGCCCAGATAAGCTGACATATAAAACTAACCATCACAGTTCACTCCTTGGCACCTTGGCAACATATTACAATTCCTTGAACTATACTTAATCTCCAAATAAGCACAAGAACAAAGTCATACTTCTACCTAACATGATCTAACTCTCCTGCATACAATAAAAAATACACCAATCTTTTCTCTGGAGGAAGATGCAAACTTTTTCTCTGGATGATGCTCACTTTTCTTGATATCCTATAACTTAATAATAGCCTCAAAGCACTGGAGTGGTGATGTTACTGTGATGTAAAAATTAACTCTTGTTAATATGCTAGATGATCTTTTTGGTACTGGGTAATGAACCCAGGGACAATCTACCACTGAGCTGCATATCCAGTTCTATTATTTAATTTTGAGACAGGATCTAGCCAACTTGCCCAGGCTGGCCTGGAATTTGCAATCTTTTTGCCTCAGCCTCCAGAATCACTAGGATTACAGATGTGTACCACCACACCTGGCCTTATGTTAGATGATAAGATGATAAGAAATCAGAAGACAAAAATATTATACACACATATATATGTATATATACACATACATATACATATATATCACATATTCATATCAAAAGAGAGAAGAAATACTTGTAACAATTACAGTCTTCATTCTTGAAATGGGTCATGTGGTCATAATTAGGTACCTACTTATAACTAACTTCTTTCATTACCATTTCATGTTCCCATTACCCTCAGCAAACAGCTCAGCTGGTTTTAGTTATTTGCCTGGTGTTGATATCCAAAACCATCTCTTAAATGTCTGACTCATTAGCAATCCTGCCTGAATTGGGTTGCTGTAGTTTTCTATTGACTTTGATCACAGGGTGTAGTAGTACTGAGATGCCCTAAGGAATCTTGCACTCACAGACTCATATTTCAGACAGCAAATACCCTGGTGTCACAGTGGAGACACAATCTTCCTTACCTCCATTGTCTTGTAGCAGCCCAATTTTTCCTTGGTAATCAAGACAGTCATCCCAGCCAGTATTGCAACTTCCTTCTTTGCCTGTTGATTTAGAAGCATGAGGAGCCAAACCAGCTGGGTGGTAGTTGTAGCTTCCAGTATAATGCAATCATTGTTGTGTATTCCTGGTGGA